CAGTAAAAGTCAATGAAATTTTTTCTAGATATTATTGATATTAACTTTTGTATTACAGACTTGTCTTATATTTCTTCAAACGCGAGAACCTCCTTAAATAAGAGACCCGAACAAAATGAGAGATGCAGATTCAAATTTTGGTTGGGATATTTTTTGCAATAAATTCCTTATAGTATTTTAAAAATACTCATTAGAATCAATAATATTAATTACTCGCCAATTTAATTCGTGATATTACTCCAGCTCTACTCTAGAATTATTTCAAGAACAAATAATCGATATATTTTGCTTGAACTGGAAATTATAAAAATTTAAATATAAAAATATTATTAGGCACTAAGATCAACCTCTTCTCATTTACTTGTGTTGAATTTTCTTGATCTATTTTTATTTAATATTCATTATGCAAGAGTTAATATAACATATATAAAAAAAAAATTGATACTTACAACTACAAATTCGTGTCTATCCAGCATACCATCCTTGTCCATATCTGCCAAGTCCCAAATCTTACCAAGAGTATCCAAGGGAAGTTTGCTATTCATTAGAACACCTTTTACTTTATTTCCAGATATGTAGCCATTAGATGGCTGTAAGCTATCAAAAAGCTGATCGTATTTCGCTCGTTCTGTAGGATTAATTGACCAGTCTCCATTATTGACAGATGTTATTACAGGCAAAGCATTAGTCATAGCCTTCTGTGGAATGACTGGGATGTCTCCCTGTATCAAAGAAGACAAACAATGTAATGTGTTCCAATTGCAAAAATGTGTATATATCTATATGTAAATTTACCATTTTCGGTGGTGGCAATTCTAGACTTAGATTAGATATATTCAAATCCTTTCCTGTTTGTGCCAATGCACATAATTTGAGTGCAACAAACAAGCCAGATTTGTCTAAAGAACCTCTTGATTGTGGATCAGCCATATCCCATATTTTACTCAGAATAACATCACTTAACTGGGATTTCTTAAGAAATCTTGCAGCATCCATTGCCTCAATCCGTCCATATCCATTTGGATCAATCTAAGAACAAATATGTATGTATGTATGTATGTGTATGTGTGTG